AAAAGGCAGCAACCAAAACCGGCGCACGAGTGTGCATGGTTAATGGTTGTGAAAACTGAAACTGGAACCAAATCGCACAGCTTTGCGATTTGGTTTCAGTTTGGACGTGAGAGTGACTTTCGACTCCATCGATCACCCCGTGCTGTGGAACTGTTTTCTGAATACCGAATTGCCTGAGAATTATGCCATACTTCTAAAAGCCATCAAACCGTCAAACCTCAGGGAAGGTTTGGGTCCATGGTGAACTCTTACCTTCGTTTCCTGTCACCAGTGGGGTACGACAGGCTTGCGTTATGTCTCTCTGTTCTCTTCAATTTTGCTATAGGTGATGTTCTGCAAAAGCCGTTACTTGATATGACGAACACTTCCTGTCCCCTCCTCCACAAAACAGGTTCGTAGCGCATCTTCCTTAGACGTTATCACTTGTTTTGTGCTTATTGTGAGCTTGATTGAGACCAGAAAAGCTTTTTCACTTTCTTTGATGGTACAGTGATGCAGATAACGATGAAAATAGCTGACATCATTCAAGCCCGCGATTTCCTTAGAGTTTTGCACTGCTGTATAAAGTTGTCTAGTTTATTTCAAACTGAGTACGATATGTATGTGCATGCTCTTTGGTGTCGTCCTCCATCATCGGTTTGTCCTCCTGATGTGAAAAATTATTGCAGATCTCAACGTTTGCTAACTCTATTTCCCTGCTATTTCTTTCCAGGAATTTGTCACATTATTCTGAAATCTTACACTCCAATGAATGAGGAATCAGTGATACTCGTTGCTGAAGGTCGCAGCTTTGAGGTAAGCGTGTGTTTGTGTGCAGTCCGAGAATGATGTCTCATTCGCATGTTTTACCTCACTTGTGGTGGTTGTGTTATTTAATGGTTTTTCGGCAACTGTTCCTTTGAGATTTCTTTTCATTTTTTTCACTGTAAAGTGCCTACTGACATATTGTTACTGTCTTAACTTTAGTGGAATACTTCCAAGCCGCTATCAGTGAATCGCAGCCAGATTATCAATGAAAGCTTATAAATTCAAATATCAAGCCTAGGATGTACACTTTGAACGCAATAGTCTCTGACTCCATGCACAGAAACAAAACTTTTAGCACTATTGTACACTTTAAAGCCTCATGCGAAGGGTATAAGATTGGATGAATCGGATAGCAATTTCATTAGGTCCCGGGCCATCGGCAACATCTCGTTTACTTATATATTGAATCGATCAGTTAAAAGTTCAGGACCTACACTCACCGGTTGTCCACTCCGGCTCTGCTGACGTAAACAAAGTTGAAGGATGATGACCATGTTGATGAGCCACAGGAAGCAATTCTTCTAGGGTGGTTTGAAAAGCCCAGTTCACCCAGATCCAGAATACACTGGCCTCGAGGATAACCTACTGAATTGATGGACACAGTGCCATTGACTTTCTCCAATCTTCTTCCCTCTTAGCCTTAGTTCTTTACCAAAACAATTCTCTCATCAGGATCTACTTGGCTTCAACTTCTCAATTACTCTTCGTCTTTATCTTTTTTCAGAACCGTTTTCTGTACCTATATTTACCATGCCGTTGCTTCATTTCGGCTTTCACATCTGAATGTATCCAATCTTTAATTCCCGGTAACCAGTTAACTCTTACTTTTCTATCATCTCCCGTTTCCCCACCAACAACAACCCTTCAATTTTCGTTTTTCTATCCTTGGTACGGATAGATTTATTTCGGTCAACCCGAATGGCCAAATTACTATTGGTGGCAAATTTGTTGTGTCCACAACAAGGAATGGTTGTGGCATTCGTCAAACACCTCAATGATGCAACCCAAAGCCGAAGCTTTTACTGTGGCCAGTAACCGGAGTCAACTAGTTCTTCTCCCTGCGGTTATCCCCGGTTACATTGATGGCCGTCCCCATACCCTAGACCTTGTTCTCACATCCATTCCGTCCTTCAGTATTGTACCACAATTGAGAGGTGGGAGTTTGTAGCGTAACAGATCAAACAAGCCAGAAGACAACGCCCTGATTGTAGGCCTTCATCGACCAACACCGAGGCATTGGGGGGGGGATAAAAGAAAACAAGCAGCATGTTGGAATATGCACCCATAATGACAGCAGTCTATGGAATAGAAAGGACAGTGATAAGTCTGTGTCAAGTGTCACTCCTTTCCCCCTTAGGCTTTTCACACTACTTCCCTCTTCCCTCCTTTTTCCTNTCCTGCTGCGTTTAACCACCTCACTCCAGACGCACTTTTTCGCGGTACAGCTAAGCCAACTGGGTTGGTTTTATAGGCTTTCCTGTGTGTTTTCCCTAATCTGACCTGCTTCAATTCTGATATTTCCGCTTCTGTTTAAAGCGTCACTGAATTTGTTTTCAAAAGTTTGTGTCTTTTGATTTTACACTTTTCGAACACGATCTCTTGGTTGGTCGAACCACGCATCACTGTGCTGTACGTCTAAAAATCTCAGCATTCCGCCTACCATTCTGCCTAACATCCAGCTACCTTTTCGTATTAGACGTGAACAAATGTTTGCTCAACATACAGAAAGCTAAGGAAGGCTTCATTTATACGATGTCTGGCTTCATTGACTACCGGTAAAGAAATATTTTGGTCCTTGCTAAGTGGTTTCATGTAATTTCTACCTTTCCAACTTTCCTGTCATTTGCGATTCCTAGGGCTCCTTAGTTTATGAACCCCATAAAAGGTAAACGATTTTCGCCTCCGGGTTTGCCTCTAATTTCATTTTATCTACTATTCCATATACTATCTTTTATCCCTCATCCCAAGGTCAATGGTTTTATAAACAAACTGAACCGAAGCGGTCTTTTATCGGCCGTTCCCGGTGAATGCCGCTGTTCACCAGGGTTTCATACTTGTGCCCATCCTCTTCTATTGACTGACTGACGGTTCTTTGTTCCCCAGATTGCGAGGTTTAAACCTCTCCACCGCCACTCAGCTTTGGTGGCTGGCAGCATGGCTGTCACCCGGTTTAATACCACACTTACGTTAGTGGAGCCCAGCGCTATTCGCAACTCCGGTCTTAGGTTACCGGTTCTCATGAGGGAACAGTGGTTCATCGACGATTAGGTGCGTAAGCTGATCGCTTTTCTGGTGCGGCCATGACGTGACAATCTCTTGACCAGTTCGTAATCGGTGATCAATCGGGGATACGGGTTTATTCGTCAGAATAAGGCTAGAAGATTAACGTAATTGTAAGAATTCCGTGGGAATAATTAACGTTTGTTACACCGCTGGTGATTGTTTTTTTCCGAATGCGAATGCTTTGTTTAATCTGTGTCATGACCAACTCCCTCCGTCGGCTGTCCTTTACTTCCCACAGGTCCCACGGAAATTGTTGTCGGATCATAGCTTGTATTTTTCTGCTGCTTTAGCTAGTGGCATGTGTGAAAGTGCTACTGGTCGTTTTGTCTTTCCGAATCTCACGGCCTATCAACTGAATCTGGTCGTACAGTGCGCACACAACACATTCACCTCATGGCCCTTTGAGGATTCGTCCGCGGATTATTCTCACTCAAGCCCCACANTGGGTCCGAGTCTGTCTGTGTCGTCCAGGCGGAATTGGATGCACTTTTGGCTGTGATCGAGGCGGCGGATTATTTACAAATCTCCCTCCTCATTCGCACATGCTTAACTCGTCTTTCCAGTTTGTTGGGACGTTTGTTTTTGCCCATTTTCACGACGGACCATGTTCGACACGATTGCCATGTGTTTTCGCTATGTCTTGAGGGTTGGGTGAGAGTCAGTCAAATTCAAGACACATCGTTCGCAAAACTGTTTCAACAATATGCCGCTAAACATCCGGATCTCATTCTAAAACCGTATATTGCATCACCCGAAATTCAATCGGCTGTGTTGGAATTGACCATAGGGATTTTGCGTTCCAATTTGCTTTGTGTGCCAGACGAATCTGTGGTCCTCGATTTGATTTTGAATTGGTTAAGTTTGTTAAAACAGTTGGGCCTAGACGAACCAAGCAATGTAGAAGCCCTTTTCAATTGTGTGCGGCCCGGTTTGCTTTCGTTCGAGGCTAGGTCTCGACTCTATGATTGCTGGTCTGTCAAGTATCCATCCGTTCGGTGGCAACGGGAGTTAGATTGTGAGGCGTTTAACACATTGATGCGTCAAATCCCGTACCAGGGTCCATTTGCGGGGTTGAGATGCATACAAGATCAGTCGAATCAATCGCTTTTCTTCGAGTCTCGAGCTTCCTCCCCTGTATTGATTACTCTTGCTCCAGGTTATTTTGGCAAAAATACATTGGAAATTAGATTGTTCAATCTGATCACAGGCGAACTCCGGAGTTTGGACATTCCACCCTGTCATTTAAGTAAACTGACCAGTGAATCGGTGGTGGATGGAGATTTCGACGGACGTATTTATCTGTGTCATCCCTCGATTAATGTGGCTCGACATAAAAGTCTGATCGTTGTTCTTTATCACAATCCATACACGTGTACTGTGAACGGGTTTATGTGGTGTTTGGCCACATGTCAAGCTGAATGGTTACCTCCGTTAGTTTTACCTGCTCTGGAGAATCGTTCGATTGGTTTGACCATGTCCGGTTGTTTCCGGTCTCGACGCATCGGTGTAGCGACCCTACCGACGGGATTGCATGTGTACTGTGCCGGTCCGGCCAATGCAAAAATATGGCTCTATCTGTACCGATTTGATGCAACCTTGTGGCAATGGCATTTGCGCGCATCCAAACCGCTGTTTGCCAGTCCATCCAGCGGGATCGCCCTGTTCACGTCAGTCGATCCGCTCGGGCTGATCACTCCAGACGGATGGCTATATGCGAATGTGGAATTCGCGGATCGTTCGGATCCCCGTGAGGCTCGGATTCGACGACATAATCTGCACCAAACCTCTCACGTTCGATCACACTTTTTCCGGTTTCGATGTGACACGACTGCCGGTTTGGTAGTGGAACCATTACCTTCACCACCGTTCCTGATACGTATCTATCGTGTACTTGCACTAACGGACGCAAAAGACAATACCACTTCCGGTACGTTCTAAGTGTTTGATACGAACCCTTTACAATCAGATACATATGTTGTTTTATTTACTAGGGTACACGCCATATTCATGTTATAAAATCACATTGCGACAGTCTTCCTGGGGGTGGAGGAGGGTGTTTCTGACCGATAGTCACACATAGGTCTTTCTAGAGGCGATCCAATGACCTGGGTGAGAATAATCCCTGATTGGTAATGCAATAGAATTTTCATTCCGTATTTTTTTCGGTAGCTTGTTTTCCGGTCTTGTAGATCGGTATACCGGTCGGGGTAGCTACATGTATCGTAGACTCGATCATGATTCGAAAACACATGAGCTGTCCGCTGTTATCCGTAACAACCTTTCCTCGCGCACTGTTGCATCCTAGCTAGGATTTGTTTGAGACCGGCATGTGGTGGCTCAAGGCCCGATGTGCAGATTTCTTAGTCCCGAACCTGATTGTTTCTAGCTTCTCACCCTATCGCAACAACATTCTAAACGACGCTTTCCTATCCTTATCGTTTAGTGTCGGCCACCGCTTCTTTCACGAATGTTTACCACGTGGTGCAGTTGTCACCTACAAACTATGGGCGTCATTACCTCTAAGACCCGTCTGTGACCTATGGCATACTGAAACTGCACGGTGTGAGCGAATTCCTGGATTTTTAAGCCCCCGCTGCTGGACCACAATGCTTTTCCTGCTTCCCGTTTCTGAAATCTGTTTGCAGCGATCGGTGTTCAACCGACGATTGAAAATGGGGTACGGTGTTCTGTGTGCAAGAATTTGGAAGCTGACCGATATTTATGTATTTCAAGACGAAATAGTGGCAGTCTCCTCGCATTAGATAATGAAGCTACATACACTCCTAGTTTCGACCGTCTGAGAGCGACAATACTGGACACGAAATTGTTGCCTGTGTGTGTGTGTGTTGTCACACGGCGGCAGCCGTATCGTGACAGGACAATACTAGTCCCTGAGTGTAGTTGTCTACAGGTGTGTGGTTTATGGTATCCAGTAAATGATGGGAAGGAGCTGAAGGAACTCTTCCATTGATCCAACGTTAAACGTCCGCGGTAGTGTTCTGAGATCCTGATGTACGGTTCTCTCTCAGTCCTACCGATATACTTGTTCCTTAAGAAAAGGCAAGTACTCTAAGGAGAGTCTGACATACCCAAGCTGGTTTCATTGTTCATTCGTGTACTTTCATGGAGTAGTTAGCGAATCATTGTAGGGTCGTTGAAATAGCCTGCTTTAAACGGTGTTTTGGTTTCCCATTGTGATCACTTTTGAGAGGTTATGTGATGAGAGCACTCTCCATCAGCACATCTTATCTTCTAACCGGTAAGGTTTCCGATCGATAAGTGTATTCTACCATCCGTTCCACCTGTACAACCCAAGTGTGATTAGTGACCTTTGATCCTGGCATTGATTTTGCCTAGTAAAATAATTTTGTTGTTTAAAATCCTCAAGTTATTCTGATCCATTCTGTCACACATGTGATTGGTCCTACACACCACCGTTGTATGAGAATCACGTTTTTGGTTAAAGCAGGGAGCAATTCGTTTGATCCGGTTTTGTTGGCCATAATCACAGTGTCTCAGGAACAGAATAGTTTGATAATTTTACATGATCTATGTAGAAAGCGCTGTCTTTCTGGACAATTTTTCGTGGATAATAAGGCACACACGCTCTCCACGAGTGAAATGAGTTATAATGGGATATGGCACCATGTTTTTGGTCCTCACTTCCCGGTTATCCACCAACTATAAGGAGTTTCATTATTGTCACCTGGTACAAAACATACCTATTTCTTCAAGTTTTAGTTTACCAATTCTGCTTGGAATCGATAGTCGGCTATTACTTTTAAATTAGACTGTTTTTGCCTGTCGCTGTTTTTGTCTTGCAGCACCCACCCCTTCACACTGGATTATCTTCTTCGACACTCAGATTGCGAATCGCACTTTGTGGCGAGAAAATGACGAACCCGATCATATTTAGATCGCAACGCCTCTTTCGATCGATTTGGGATGTACGATTTGACTTTTATCCCCGACCGGGGGGAGGGGGGGGACAGACGACACCAGAATAGGAGAGTGATGCATCCAGGATTTGTTTCCTCACCATATTAACATTTCTTTTCGGGACCAGAATAGATTGGGCCCGAATTGTAGTGTCTCGCTCTTATTACACTGCTGTGCATATCGTTACAAGCTATGTGTGGGCTATCTAATCGGACTGAAACTCCTGAGCGAGTAGACTTTGGTTTTCCATTGGGCGAACACTCCTCTTCTGTCTCTATATTGTATCTAGCGGTCACCTGTGGCTCCACGAAACTGTGGTATGCACCAGAGGCCACATCCCGCTAAACCGCTTGATAGGCGGAATAAACCAGGATAAGGGTGACCGAGGTATAGAAGCTTTTACACCTCGAGACAAGATCTACTAAAAGATCCAGTGGCTATGAAGGAATTCTGTCCGACTAATGGGGATTCATGGGTCCGTGTTTTGCAGCCATTTGTGTCGGCGCCGCCGGTTACCATGCACCAACACACGGCTGTTTTAACATCGGCACTTGGCTGCGGGAGCTGGCGGAGTGCCCTCGAAACAAAACGCCGAGTGACGCTAGTGATGTTTCTCTCACCAGACTCCTATAAAACTCCGTAATCACTACGGAGTCGGCTTATCCTACCCAAGGAGCGAACCACAGTAAAGTATATCACTACAAGTAGGTTGGTCATCAATATCAAGAGGTAGCGTACTAATAAACACTGGCCAACTCATCACCCGTTTTGGTGAATTTTCTGCGATGTTGTATTTTAATGTCGTTCTTACTCCGCCTGCAAACTTATTTTTATTTGAACTAAAACATTTCTTTATAACAAGACTTTACTGTCTACAATTATTGTTATCTTAACTCGCTCAACTCTATTGATTCCGCGGTTCGCTGCTGGTCTACATTTGAAAGTTGGTTGTAAAACACTCCGTAGGTTATCTGTCGTATTCCTGTATACTGCTTGTTCATCCGTGATACGTTACGTACTCGAGATTCTGTGACTATTAGTAATGTCTTTTTGTACTATGGAACAAGGCTTAAATCAAAATTTGTTGAAATATCCCCATTGTTCATTGAAAAGCCCAGTGAAGCAAAGGATACCGTTCGATTATTCATTCTCAAGCTTCTACATTAATGTACGATCACAAGGTTGATGGTGTTCTATGAGGAATGTTTGCGATTGAATCAATATCGGAAGCAATTTTGTCAAATCTTGAGATGAAGTCGAATTAACCCGAATAGGAGAAATTGAAGGATACTTGGCAAGAATCATTTCGAATCTATCCAATCACGAACTGATGAACTAAAGATAAACTTACTACAGAGAGAATTCGCATTTGACAATTTATCCGAGGGTATGAGGAATCATTTCGTGTCATATACATCCAGTGTGATCAAAGGTAGAATTGAGAAGAAGCGTTAATCCTTGATTTAATCAGTGAATGAACAAGCAGTTTTTGCCAAGTTTCCCAGCAATCCGGAGGAATACGTTCACAATTTGTCGAATATGAGATTGACCAACGAACGGACGGAAGTCCTATCGCTTGGAACAAAATTCTGCTACCATCGTCCGCATAATTGGCGAATTGGGATCGAGACGCAAGTTGAAAACCTGATAACCCAAACCCAAAATCTTCAGCCAACATCTTCCCTGCATCTGGAACATATAAAGTCTACTGTGCTACTATGCTGAATACATGCTACGCATATCGTCAAAAAAGAGAAACACTGTCACTGGGGCTCTTAACACATCACAGTGATGCACTTGAACAACGTAATCAAAACAAGGAACTAGTGATTTCAAAGGTGCTGGAATAGTACTGATGAGCAGAGCTGGTTATGTTAATAAAATGGAAGTAAATCTGACTAACAAGACCAAATTTCAGTAACTGTACCGGGATAAAGATAATACAGACTCTATTGAAAAACAACTAATGACATTGCGGAACAGATTGTAGATTGAAAGCCATATCATAACGACAAAACTCGAGAGCCTAAAACCCCAAGTCTCAGTTACCCCACGTCTATACGGTCTATCTAAAGTGCATAAGCCGAATCGTCCTCCACGAGTGATGTCTGGTTCTCCGTACCATTTAATTGCACGATGGCTCGTCTCCAAGCCAGAACCCGTCCGGAAAGCAATAGTGAAATTCAGCTTACGCGATACAGGTCAGTTCGTCGAAGTAGTCAAAAACCTGAGCGTGAAAAGCAAGGTAATGTTTTCACTGAACGTGTCCTCACTTTTCACTAATTGGAACGATTGGTTATCTCTGTAATTACATAGCGCAAAACGAGATAAACATCGAAACTCCGATCTCGTATCTGAATGTACTACTTTTGCGTTGCACAATGAACGTTGTTATGCAATGGACACGTTCCGCTAAGTCGATGGGTGGCAATGGGTTCGCCATTTGGCCCATTACCAGCAGACATTTTTATGGCGAAGTTGAAAAACCATGAACTAAAAGACAATATCTCTCAACTGGATACTCGTCGCTATCTTGATGATGTATATCTTTGCCATTAGAAATACAACAACAAATGTTTCGCAACTTTTGTTGACGTTCAACAAAGCACGTCAATCGATACATTTTACACTGGAGTCCAAAAGGGATGGGTGGACTCCTTTTCTCGATGTGCTGCTTTCCCGGAATGAGAATGGAGTTATTGAGAGGAGTGTGTATAGAAAGCAAACGTGGGTTGGGCAATACCTAAACTTCCGCAATGCAGTACCGATCAAACAAAACCGAAACTTAGTGTGTTGTCCAGTCTAAAGAGCAAGAATGATTTGTTCCAACGGAACATTACCAAGTGAATTAGAGCATCTAGAAAGCACTTTTTGACAGAATGGATACCCAGACAATTTCATGGAATGGTATATGAAAACGAAACCGCCAGAGAGCCAACTCTATCTACATCGTCCTTGAGAAACCATTATTTCTAATTTAACTCAATCAATCAAAACCATTATTTATGAATCTGTCTTTTCCACGACGGTGTTAGTAAACCTTTCGAAACGAGACTCTCAAGAGCAATGAAGTCCAGATTTTACGCCACAACTAAAAATATTCCACTCATCCTATCCGGCCATTCTTCAGAGACTTAAGGATCGACTGCCACTGTCAACTATTTCTATGTCAATATACGTGCTCCTGTGGAGCCGGCTGCATCGGTTGTTCCAGTCGGCGGTTGACCAAACGGATTCAAGAGCATTATCCGGCATGGTTGAGAAAATAACTATCAAAATTCATCCGTAGCTCAATTATGGAGCATCCGATCAACACGGGACATACGGTAGATGTCGAAAAGTCATTTAAGGTCATCCACAGAACCCCGATGAATCTACCCAAATAATTGAGGCATAGTATACTTCGCATGGCCGAGGCGGTGACTAATCCTATCCTCCACTCTGAATCGTGCCAACAAAAGCGGATTGTTCATAAACTGAGTTTTCCATAGCCTGACGACATGACGTAATTGACGTTTGTTCAGAAAATCAAACGATGATTAAATGATCGTGTTACACTATCCGTTTAATCAAGTGATAGTAACTCTGTAACGCCGCTCCTCTCACACTGGTTTATTTTATGAAAAATGGCTTTTGTTGATACCTTGTGATCAAATATTAAATTAGACGCTTGAAATTTACNTACTTCTTCGACCACATCTTCACTCTGCGCCAAATTCTGGAGCACCGGCATTCTTTTCGTAGACGCACCATCTCTGTCTTCCTCGATCTCAAAGCGGCTTTCGACTCAGTCGACCGCTCTAAACTCTGGCGCTGCCTTTCCCTGAAAGGAGTGCCCGAGAAGTTAATTTCAATATTGCAATCGCTTTGCACTAATAGCCAAAGAGGAGTCCGGGATTACCACACTTTTTCGCCCGAGTTCACCACGGAAAGTGGTGTTCGTCAGGGTTGCTCTCTTCCTCCATTTCTATTCAACTTTGTTATGGATTTGATTATGGAAACAGCCCTATCGATTTACTCCCAGGAGGCAGGCTGTCTGATCTAGAGTATGCAGACGACATTGTGCTACTAAGTGCAGACCCAGGTAAGTTGCAAGCTTTTCTGGATAACTTGAATGCCAGTGTAGCCATATTCGGTATGTGTTTTGCACATTCAGAGTGTAAAATGTTACTACAAGACTGGGTTGAACCAGTCCCCAGCCTCACTCTAACTGGGGAAGTAATAGAGCAGGTGGATAATTTTTGTTATTTGAGCAGCTACATCTGACCCGGTGGACGCATCACGGATGAAGTGTCTGCTCGCATACAGAAGGCTCGATTGGCATTTGCCAATTTGAGACATCTGTGGCGCCGTCGCGACATCCGGCTGTCTGCGAAGGGTCGAGTATATGCTGCAGTAGTTCGGCCAGTTCTGCTATATGGAGCAGAAACTTGGCCATTAAGAAAACAGGACAAAGACAGACTGTCGGTGTTTGAACGCCGCTGTCTACGCAGCATTGGACGAATCTGGTGGGGTAGCCGGATGAGCAATGCTGAGGTGAGGCACAGTTTTGGGTATCCGCGATCACCCACTGGAGCAAGTGGTCGACCTCCATAGATTACGTTGGTTGGGACATGTGTTACGTATGTCACCAGATAGGTTACCGAGGCGAGCAATGTTCGCCGAAACGGATACCGAGTGGAACAAAGCCAAGGGTGGTCAAGCTAAGACCTGGCACGAGGATATGAAAACCCTAACCAGGAGACTAGGTCACATAGGTCCTGTTAGGCTCCCTGGCTGGGGACCTCGGGATGATCGCAACCGTTGGTTAGAAACACTGAGTGATATGGCTGGGTGTCGCAACCAGTGGCGTTCGTGCATCTCCTCAATTTCTTTGCAACCTAGACCACTGAACTTCTCTATTTTCTGTTCGACTCCACTTTCAACTTTCCTTTTTTCTCCTGTTCTTCATCCCAATGGGCAGCCAAAAGGCAGCAACCAAAACCGGCGCACGAGTGTGCATGGTTAATGGTTGTAAAAACTGATACTGCTGCTGTTAAGTTCAGATGTGACCAAGTTGGTTTAATGGTCACTAATTTTGCAAAATGCTAGCGATTGTTCATACCTCAAAATTACGATGACCGCGTTCTCCATCCGAAAAAGGCTCCTTTATCTATCTTTCCGGGTCCCTCAAGTTTTATGGTACCTAATTATTACGATACGATATCTGACGTTACATTTTCTCGGCTTTAGATTGCCTTCCGCTTCGGTTGCCCGCAACGTTTATTTTCCACATTTAGGGTTCGCTTACTTTTTCATTGATAGTAGTCTCAATTTAACAGCGCGTTTTAATTCATTTACAGGGCAAACATATCTCTTTGCATTTGGGACGTGTTCTCGCGATCAGACCGCGACACAGTTCTGTTTCAATACAGAAACACAGCAGTGGATAGAATGGACTGCAGCCAGTACTTCAGCTGACAATAAGAATGATGGCTTTCTATCTGATGCTCACGGTCGATCGTTGCGGCCGAAGTTACAAGTGAATTTGTGCCCCGAAATCCTCGGGTTTCGTGGACTCGTATCCACCACACACTTGGTTGATGATTTACGCGGTTTTCACTCTGACCTCACGCACCATCCGGATAGTAGCGAATTTAGTCCATCTCGAGTCGATGAGTCCGGAGCGAAGTCACAATCCAATGCCAATCCCACATTGGTGCTTGTTGGCCGCCCGGATCATCACATGTGTGAAAGCAAGTCCGGTGTCTGTGGTATCTGGTTTCATCGACCACAAATTGGCCCGCTCCAATCAAATACGATCCAGTTTGATCCCAGAAAACCGATGTTTCCTTTGCCCAATAATTTGGCTCAAATATTCTATCAACTTCCTTCTCCTGCTGCTGTCCCCGTGGCGAATTGGGAGAACCTGTTCCGAAGCCCGGACATTCTGAATTTCAACACTCTATCAACGGACATTCATATTGCCAAACAGAGCACCCATGAACCAATGGTGACTTGTCCATTCCCGGGTATGAGTTATTCATGGTCCAGTTGGGCCGCACCGGACAGTGATTAATGGAATCGATGCCATTGGCCAATGTGTTTCTTCCCTTCATCACTCTGTCCTCAATCAAGAAAAGATAACGCCGTAATTTCAAGAGTTTTTATTGTGATTTCACCACGAATAAGCACCTCTTTGCCGATTTAATCATATTTGTCAACCGCCTCCCTCTCCCAGTCTTTTCATGTACATATCACGAACGGGTCCCTACCTTCAGTTGTCAAACGAGTAACTTATTTTCCTCAAATGCATTTGCCTTTTCTTCTGTGGGTAGTAATATTCACTTTTCTCTGTACAGATGTTATTCATGCGGAAATTATTTATCGATTGAATGTTATTTTTCTTCATGACAGATGATATCCATAGAAACTAATGTTTTTCTCACACTGAATTCTGCGTTCATTTATTACTCCCGGTTCGGAATTGTTGTTCGTATGTACTTGGATTCCGGAGTTCAATAATTGAAATCCGATGCTGGAGTGCAAGATTTGTTTTCAATGACGACAACAATAGTTAGCACACTGTTTGTCATAAAAGGTGAATGTATCACGGAAACAAATCAACTGTTCTTCTGCTAGACACCTTTTGTTTTAGAACAATGAGCTCTGTAGTTGGTGAGGGTTCGAACCAGGATGTGTAACACTGCCGGACCCTCATGTAACCATTTGTCTGTTTGAATTCATTTACCACGGTATAGTATAGTGTGAGCATAGTTAGACTGCATAGTCTGTGTTTGCAATCGCAGCTTAATTTTGTTCCCTCTTTTAAAGCAAGTGCATACCGCTTAGGCATTTCCTGTACGATTGTTATGATAGCGAACCAATCAGGAGTTGCATATTGAAACAATTGCTAACTGCTTTGCGTTCTAATGAAATATCAATGTGACTGTTATATGCTTCTGTTGGTTTTTATATCTGAATTTGTTACTGCTCTATCCAGTTGGTTACTAACACACGACCCGTAGCCATGATTGTGTGTCGAATAATCAAATTGATATTCGGTTGCTATCCACGAATCTGAGAAATATGGTATGCAGTCGGATGCGGTGATGGATTGTTGTCATAAGGCAAGGGCGGTGGTGGCTC